TTGCATTTCGGGACAAACAAATGAAAACAAACACACAGCCCCAGCCCCAGCACAGCAGCCGGCAAATTGTGGAATTTTGGCAGCTGCCGTAGAAAAACCAGATATGACACTAGGCTACAAAAAAATAAAATTGAATTTTTCTTAAAATAAAGATTTTGATTCATGTAAAATATTTCCTGTTGTCCAGTGTTTTTGCGTCGCATCTTGTAAATACACAACAAGATGCGCAATAAGAAAATCCGTACAAACCACAAAATAACAAAAACAACAAAAGAACAAGAAGCGCGCATTTTGTAAAATCGCAGAAAAAAAAAAAAAAACTGAAAACAAACAAAACGTAAATGCGCCACATCTGGCAACATTGCTAAAACCAACAAACATGACATCACTTTTTTGCGCACTCACCAAAGTAATAAAAGCACGCCCCGAGTTGGGGGGCTGGATGGGTGGTGGGGATTTGAAAGGGCGATAGAGAGCCAGCGCGTCGCCGTTTTGCCGCTCTGACTCTCTCTCTCGCCTAAGCTTACTCCCTCGCGCGCTCTCTCTCTCTCTCGCTCTGGCCCATGTTATACACAAGCAATGGAGAAAAAAAAATAATAATAACAAGAATGAGAGAAGTAAGCATAAAGGTAAAATTGGGGAAGCTGCTGGAATGGGGCTGATCGGATGGGAGTGGGGGTGGGACCATATGTACATATCTCTCCAGTTGATTAAAACAGTGTTGCCACCGGGCTGCCGAAAAAATGTTGTGCCCCAATCGCCCCCCAAAATCTTGGTCATTTATTTCCTCTATTGTTGTCAAACAGACGGTGAAAAGAACACAAAAAAAATAGACAAAAAAAAAAAAAAGCGAACCAAATGACACAAACTGACATCCCAGAAAAACATCCGAACAAATGCGGCAAACTATTTGGAACGCTCACAAGCCAAAGAACCATTTCATAGACAAGCACACCTGAGGTCAATGGTATAGGGAATTACTGCGACTTACAAAAAGTTATAAAATCGTATTATTTAAGGTTTAATTTATCTATAATATATAAGTATAAACTTTTTCATCGCTAGGTCCCATCTGTAGGTTCGATTTTTCTATCTCTTTAGATTAGATTTTATTAGATTCACTTCTAATCATTAAATCTTTGTTCTCTAACAATAATTACAAGATACAGATTTTATAAGATGTTTAAAGATAATAATTTTATTAATTTATGTTTTTCATATTTACATCCCATCTCTAATTAGTTAAAGATATAATGCCACATAGTTTCATCTCTAATTCCTCCCATCTCAAGATCCCTTCTCTAATAATATAATATAATAATAATATAATTCCTGTTAATAACATCTCTAATATAATTTAAATATAATTCCACATACTTCCATCTCTAATTCCTTTTATCACAGGTTCCCTTCTCTAATAACTATTGAATATAATTTCCAATAATTCCATCTCTAATTCCTTCCATCTCAAGCTTTCATCTCTTATATTCTTTAAATTTAGTTCCTAATAATTCCGTTTCCGTTTTAATAATAATTTGAAATATAATTCTTATTATTTTATTTATATGTATATATTTTTTTATATTTTTTATCTCCAACACCTATTTATCCCTCTCGGACTGTACCTACACGTAACTAGGTAATAGGACCAGAGTGCACGGTGGGCTGGCAGCTCAAAAGCGATCCCATTTGAATACGACATCATGCATAACTAAAGGTCTGACCACAGAGCTCTATATATAGAATTTACTACTCCCCGATTAATTCTTCGCTTGATTTACGCTCCCCAATATTTTCGGGGGCCTTAAGTGATTTGAGATTATTTTTGGTTATTTTTGATAACTCCACTCCGCCAGCCAGCTAACAAAAATGATAAGGATTCGCCTCAAAGATTGATGATGACATTGGTATCAAAATAAATGATATTTTATTATTTTTAAATTGATATATATTTTTGTAAAGGTATATAATAATTAAAAATACCATTTTTGGCACAAAACTATAGAAATTGGCATTATTCCCAAATATATTGCGATTTTTCCTAAAATCGAAACAAAATATATAAATATAAAGATGGTCTGTGATGTATTTGGAAAATATATTTATATATATATCTATATTTTCTTGACTTATTTGAGGTGATTGATGGATTTTTATTAGTTTTATGGCTAATAATATGGCAGAAATATTTTAAAAATAAAAGTTATAAATTATTTTAAATCTATAACTACAATCTAAAAATAAAAACCCCTTTTGTTATATTTTTTTTTAAAGGAAATTGGTAATTTCCATAGCCACCCAACAATGGGAAGATCTAAAGCTATAGTCTCTATGGCTATATAGACGGTTTGGTAATTACACACGCACTGCTGACCAGCGGCACAATTACCGTTAGCATTACAAAAAAAAATAAAAAAAAAAAATGTGACAATGGCTTTTCTCTTTTTTTTTGTTGTTTTTGTTTTTGTTGCACTTGTCTGCCTATGATGATAATTATGATTATGAACACGATTATGATGATTATGATGGTATATGCATGTCAAGTGTGCCGTGGGTACCGGAAAATCAATTGACTGAGTGACAGGCCGGACAGTTTTGAGATGTGATGTGTACTTTCACAATAGCTATAGATATGTGCAAGGCCCACCACCATCACCAGCCGATCGAATTTCTGTAGTTGGGGAGCAATAACAAAAAAAAAATTGGAAATGAAATCATGTCGAGGTCAGCATCTTCAAAACAGCCACCTTTCATAAGGTATTAACTGAAAAAAAATATTATAAGAATTTTAAAAATTAAAGAACGATAATTAGAAGTATCGTAATCCTGCAAGTACCATCTCTAGGAGCTTTAGAGATGAAGCTCGAACCAGGCTTGCAAAAATTTTATGAAAAAGATCTTTCACCTTAATTACCATATTTTTTTGTAGTATTTCTAGGTAATCAATAGGCAGATTGCGGGCCTTTCTTAGCTGTTTTTTCTTCTTCTTTTCATTTAATTGTTTCTTTTGTTTTTTTTTTATTTCTTTTTCGACTGACTAACTGTAAAGAAAGAAAGTTCTACAGCAAGTGACGAGCTCAAATCGCGATGACATCACGCTCTATCGGCAACTTTAAGCTCACCACACACACACACACACTTACACACTCTGAGACTCATAAAAGAAATTCAAAAAGAATTGGAAAAAGAAACACGCATAGCGAACAAAAAGGTCACAACATGTGTTAAGTCTAATCTCTCCCCAAAATGGAATATGCCACCTAGGCGGATCAAAGAATAAAAAAAAGGAGAGATAGAACGAGAGAGAAGAACAAAAAAAAATTGTCAGCAAATTTGATTTGAAGACCATAAGACAGGTATCGTTAAAAAAAAAAACACCTTTCCAAATATGGCATTATTTATGGCCATAAGAAGAAATAAATCTTTAAGATCTAATACGATAGGTTCGCCCTTTAATTAATCGCATTAGTTGCGCATATCTAAAGCTACAATCGATAAACGAGCTTAATAGCGCGCCCCTAATGTTATCGACTTTAAGCTAGAACTAAAAACTAAAGCGCTCGTTTCGAATTTCGGTTAACCCATTAGATACGCGTTCTGATACAGCTACAGATACAGATACAGATACACACGATGATGCAGTGCACCCGAAAAAGATGTGGGTCATCAACCACCGAATGAAGTTGACCCACTTATATACCTACACATATATAATGCTTTAAAATGCACACATACACACACACACACACCCACACTAACAGGCATCATTATGTAATAAAACGATGACGGTCTGTTTAACGGTATTCTGGTAAGAGCGCCGGCGCATTAAAACTCCCAATTTGGTGGAGTTCCCTAGGTGGTTGGGACGGACCCACATGCGAACAACCAGACGAAGAAGAACCCAAATAAACAAACCCATCTTCTTCCAATCGGACTGATAACAACTGAGAGCGGGAGAGTGCCCTGCAAAAGGAGTGGGAGAGAGTACAAGAGAGAGAGAGTGAGAGCAAAAGGATGAGCTTTCCAGGGGTGGGATGTTTTAGGTACAGTGGTTGCTGGACAGTTTGGAATTCTTATATTCTAAGCTTAGGGTTAATATTGATTTGATTTGATTTAATAATGATTTGATTAATAGGTTATTGCCTTTTGAATTATTTTTTTTTAAGTTCTTTTTTTTATTGCTTCCGCAATTATTTTTCATTTTGCCAATTCTGCAATTTTCTTATCATAAAAAAATTAACTTTGAAATATAAAGTCTAGGGTTTCAAGTACAGTGGGGATTGGGTTTTATTATAATTTTAATAAAAATAATGAAAATTTAATTAAATCTTTTGTTTTATTTGAATTATATTTAATATTATCTTTTATTTTATGAGTTATAGATCAAAATATAAGAAAAAAAACTTAGAATTTTAAATTTTAAATATTTTTCTCATAAACAGCTTTTTATAATACATTTATTTGCAAAATTTTAGCCAAATAGAAAGCCTTTTCTAAGTCCCCCCAAGAATTCTTTATAGTTAGAGACCCCTGTATGTGGTTTAAGGCAAACAAAGTTTTTAAATCAAAACTGCTGACGACGGTGGGGCTGTGTAATTATCGATTTTAAAAATTTGTGTGTCTCAGTCTGAGGCTTCCTGGTCGCTGGGGGCTTCGAGGAGGAAGGAAGGAAAGAGTTCTTTAACCGCTATTTGGGTTGTATGTCTATATAGGCTTATTATCTGTGTGACTTGGGGATCACATCAGACTTACATACATATATGGATTAGCCCCAAAAAAAACATTGCCTAACAAAAGTGAAAGCTGCCAAAAAAAAAAAAAAAGTCATTAGACGGAAGTTTTAATGAGGTAAAAGTAGGCCCTATCCAGGGCACATACATACCAAAGCGTACAATCATTAAAAAACAAAAAAAAAGGGCCCGAAAATAATTAAAAAATTAAAAACACAAAGATGGGAAAAAAAGAGACTGCTTTTTTTTTATTGAAACATTAAAACTCACTCTTCCTGAACCTCGATGCCGCTATCGTCCATGTTCGCCTTGGTGTAGTCTCCACTGTAGCTACCTGACAGCGGCAGGTGCGACGGATGCGGATGCGTCGCAGCCACCGACTGCGGCTGTCCAGCGGCGGCAGCGGCAAATGCATCAGCGGCAACATCGAATCCAAACGTGGACTCCACGTGCTCCGACAAAGGAGTCGGCGTCTCGAATACCAGCGTCTCCACCATAGAGCCTTTCGAGGAGCCAAAGGAGACGCTAAAATTAAGAAAATGTATCAGTTTTTATTTTTAGGAAAGTATTTTTAAGAATATTCTTAAAATAAAGGCATCTAGAGGAGCATCTAATTATAGACAGAGTACAGGTGAAAAGGGAAAGAGTTGAGGGATCTTCTTCTCTTTAGAGGTCTCTATTTCTATTTATTTTATGATAATCTCATCTTATTCTTAAACTAATCTATAAAATCTACATAATTCTAAAAAGTAAAACCTGTCTTTGAAGAATATTTAAATATGGAGACCCCTTTAAGAGCTTTATTACGAAATCCTAAGTCCAAACAGTCCCAAAAGTTGGTATCCATATAAAGATATATCCAACCTTATATATTGTAAACCGAAAACCGGAATGGGAGTGAGACTTTTATGAGTTTTTTTTATTAAAAGAGTTGTTTTTTTTAAGTTTTTACTTCCTGAAAGCTTTAAAACAGAAGAACTAAATGTAATTATATGATTTAAACTATTATATGATATCATATCATATTATAATAGATCTATAATAATAGAATATGAATTTAATCGAATACCCATAAAAAAAACCTATATTTTAGTTATTTTTTAAGCCGGAAACTTAATAAAACTTGAAATACATTGAATATAAAGTTTTCAGAATCATTTTTTAAAAGAATCTTATAGATCTTAAGGATCTAGTAACCTATAGAGGATATATACATAATTATAGTTCCCTAAAAGACTTCCTAAAGACTTTCTTTTAATGATCTTATACGAATTTTATTCAATATTCATCTAAAAAAACGTATATTTGATGCATTTTTTAAAATAAAATCTTGGGGAGTATTTAAATATATATAATACTAAGTTTTTAGAATATTTTTTAAAGAATCTTATGGATCTAGTAACCTGTAGGGCTTAATATGGTTTTTTTAAAACAAGACTATCTCTTAAAGATCTATGTATGTCTTTTTAGATAAATTATAAGAATAAGATTCAATATTGATCTAAAAGACGTATATTTGAGGTATTTTTTAAAACAAAAACTTAAGAAAACCTAAGATTTAAGATTTTAGAATCATTTTTTTTAATCTTATAGATCCTATGGATAGAGTAACCTATAGGGAATAATATACATAATTATAGTTTCCTAAAAGACTTCCTAAAGACTTTCTCTAAGAGATCCTATAAGAATTTTATACAAAAACGTACATTTTACGTATTTTTTAAAACAAAAACATGACAAAACCAGAGATAATACTAAGTTAATACTGAGGAAACCTGAATAATACATTTAACATAAAGTTTTTAGAATATTTTTTTAAAGAATATAAGTTATATGTGTGATTTACTAAGTAATTCTATTAAAAATCAATAAAATAGTTAAACTATTTTACTGTTTTTCAAAGATCTTAACTTTGTTTTATTTAAAAGACTGTCTTTCAAATCTCAACTAAGTTTTCTGTAAAAAAAACTCGAAATTTTCGAAAAATTTTCTAGTTTTTCTCTTTATTTTCTAAATCTCTATGATTCTTTTTTATGAAATCCATAAAACAATGAATACTATAGCTTTTAATCAAAGATCTTAACTTAGTTTTCCTTAAAATCTTCTCCAAATTTAAAAACCCACTACGGTTCTATCAAAAAATCAATAAAATAATGAGTATTTTAGAATTTCATTAAAGATCTGAACTTAGTTAACCCGAAACCCAGAATTTTACTCAATTCTTCCAAGGTTTTATTAAAAACTTAATAAAACAAATAATTCTAAGGCTTTCTATTAAATATTTTTACTTAGTTTTCCTTAAAATTTCTTCTAAGTTTTAAATATCTTTAAAAATAATCAATAAATTAAAGAATATTAAGGTTTTTTATTAAAGATCTCAGTTATTCCAAAACTCTCTTTAAATTTTGGACTTCTCTCCCAAAACTCTCTTTAAAATCTACCTTTCCTTTCTCTCCTTTCCTTTCCATCTCACCTACCAGGTACATCTGTATATATGTATGTATGTATGTATATATTTTGTTAAACAAATCGCGGTATCCCATTGTTTCTTCCTCTCCCTCTCCCTATCTCCCCAGTCTACATCTTTTTGCCATTTTTCATGGGAATTCTTTGCGGGATTCCTCCTTACCCTTACCCTTCCCCTTGGCACCTTGCCCCTTTCTTCGTATTGGAACGATTAGCGTCTCTTGCGGGTATTTAAGTGGATTTTCACACTCGAGTGTAAATATTCTTATTAGCAAAAAACAAGGTGAGAAGAAGAAGTACAAAAGGTGATAAAAGAGAAAGAGAGAGGGGGAGGGGGTGAGGGGAGAGTATAACTTACCGTTTGAGGCCGACTTGCTTGGTGCCCAGTTTACTCAGTTTGCCGGGTTTCTTTTGGGGGCGTGGGAATTTATCGCTCAGATCGCTGGACAGATCCTCTTCATCAGCTGTTGTTGTTGTTGTTGCTATTACTGTTGAATTAATTTCTGTCTCTGTCTCTCCTGTTGCATTGTTGTTGTTGTGTTGATTTTGATTTTTATTCGTTTTATTGACCACATTTCTAACCGCATTATTGTTGTTTGTATTATTATTATTATTTTGTTGTTGTTGTTGTTGGGACGGTTGTATATTTGTTGTTGTTGTTGCTGTTGTATGCACCAGCGGCAGCGTTGTGGGCGGCGCAACAGAGACAGCAATAGCAGGAGTGGCGGATAAAGGAGGTGGCGGCGAAGAGGTAACGGTAGTACTAGTAGTAGTAGTAATCTCCTCCTCGCTCAATAGACGCGTCCGCTCATCGACGGCGACAGCAGCAGCGGCGGCAGCTGCGACAGAACCGTTTGACGTCGACTGCATTGCGGTTGCAGCAGCAGCAGAGGTCGCAGCAGCAGCAGTGGTAGGAAAAATATTCGATTTCACAGATGATGGTAGCAGTGGGGCATTTTGAGGGGGCGGCGGTGTGGGCGGGGCCAGGGCCAGCATAGGTGCACCAAATAACGGTACTTCGACTTAGACACACACACACACACACTTGTGCAGAAATTACCGCTTGATTGGATTTAAAAATTCAACAAAAAAAAAACCAACAAACACACACACACGGACGACACTCAGTTTAAAGGCAATTTCCGTCGCAATAAAAAAAAAAACACAATAAAAAAATAAACTAAAAAAACGAAAAAAACAACAAATATTAGCACATTAGCACCGCTCAGGAAAACAGCGACAGAGACAGCGACAGCGGCAGAGACGGTAGCAGAAGAAGCGGCAACGGCGTCGTTGTCGTCGTCAGTGACCTGCACTTTATAAAAAATTTATATATATATAATTCCCGAAACGATTGCAGAACTTGGCGCCCTAACACGAGTTTATAAATAAAACTAGATGTGCATTTATTAAAACGCGAACGCCAGTGCGAATGTGGGATTATCGTGTGTATATTTGGTTGCGCGTTCAATTTCTGTAATCCAAACGTCTCGTGCTCCGCTTTGTTTCTGTTTATCGTTGCTGGTGCTGGTTCTGTTAACCTTATGCGCGACCATAACAGAGCGCTGTTAAATTTATCGAAATACCATAACGATAGTTGGCAACTCTAATTAGTGGTGGGCCATTGTTGTGCCTTCCTTGGTGATGGCATGGCACTATCAATATTTTTGAATAGTTATTTTTGATCAGTAGGCCAAATTTTAATTCCTTTAAAAACAACAAGCTTACAATTCATTCAGTAACTGTTAGTCGACGAGATCAAAGCATTAAAATTGGTGTTCTATGTCAAGTTTAAAAATAAATAAATTTGTTTTTTCGATATATATCGGAAGAGCTTAAAAAGAGCTCATTTGAAATTAACGCCTTCATCAAGTAATCCTTGAAATTAAAACAAATCTGAAAAAGAAAACAGTAGGCATTGACAAATAAATTTTTAACCTTGTGAATAATATTTCTACATTGCTTCATTCCACTCGCAGTTGTGCTTCGGAAAAGTCTACCTTAAAACCAGCTCCATTTTTTGTTGTGTGGAAATAAAAATTTCAATTCGGTTTTTATTTTCATATAATTTTAATAAAAATTTATAGAATTCGTAAATTAAATATTGTGATTGAATTTCGGCATTTATTTTCATAGTTTTACAAAATTTCTAATATATTTTTGAAATTTGAAATTATTTCGTGAATCGAAATTTTGGATTGAAGGAAACTCAGGTAAATATTATTTCGAAAAATATTTCGAAAAATAATTCGAAATAATACCATACGACAGGATGGCGCCAACCAACTTCTCGACCATGATTAACCAGGAGCATCTCTGGCCGGAGAACGCCGGCAAGACATTGGAACAGCTCCGTGCCAATATGCAGCCCTTGAACCATTTCATGAAGAAACGTGTCGTCCGCGAAGGGGACATGAACTACGAATGCTATCCCCACGGCATTAAGCTACAGATGCGTTTCTGCGGCTACTTCGATGATGACCGACGCGACCTGGGCACCCAATGGGAAATGGATTTTGAAACTGGGCAACATCCTTATCCGGGATTCTTCTGGTGTTTCAATGAAGCCCTGACCTCGATGCGACCAATGGAGATAGCCGAGTATTCCATCGATCGTGAGATGCTACATGCCCAACTGAATAATGATCCGAGGTACCAGCAGAACGATGGCATCTTTTCGCTCGAGGTCCTGCATGTGGAGAACATGCATATGGTGCCGCTTCGACAGCCCCAATCCACATCCAGTGTCCAGGACTCGTCGCAGTCACCGCCGCAGTGCCAGTGCCAGACCCAGGCCCAGACCCAGACCCAGACCCAGGAGCAGACCCAGTCCCAAACCCAGTTCATGGGCGCTTACAACAAAGCGGAGATTGTGCGTCGCCGGGCCGAGGATGCATTGAATGGAAACAAATTCCAGCAATCGGTGCAGCTGTGCGAAGAGGCCACTATGCTCCTGAGACAGTTCAAGACCGAAAATGAGGAGGAGCAGGCGAAGCGTTTCAACATGCTGGTAACCATATCGAACCTATTGCTGGAGTGCTACGAAAAGAGGGGTAATTATTGGCATGTTACTGGTATTATGCGTGAGCTACGACGCCTCACCGACCATTTGCCATCCTTCGCAGCCCTTGTCCACGAAGGTAAGCAGCACGAGGACCTCGGAGAGCTGGAGCAGGCCCGCGAGACCTTCTTGGAGGCCCTGCGCGTCAATCCGACTACCATTACCATTCACGAGCTGATCGCTAACATCGATGCCAAAATCTTGGCAGAGGTGCAGGCTGGCAAGGAGAGGGAAGCCAAGGAGCAGGCTGACAGGAAGGCTGCAGCCAAGGAGCGGGCTGCCAAGAAGAAGGCTGCCAAGGAGGCTGCACTGAAGAAGGAGGATGACGTTGTCTTTCTTCCAGGACCCGAGTCCCCCACTAATGGCAGCGAGGAATCCATTGGCTCCGGAAATCCCCAGCAACGTTAAGAGGACCTTCCAAAACCGGAAATCCCCCAATAATTGCAGCCAGGTATCCGGAAATCCCCCAGAAGCAGGCGTATCTCGTTATTTAGTTACAGATGTTATCTCGTTATGCAACCCATACAACGTATTTTTTCGATGGAAGCTTGAAAATTCAAAATTTTCCCAGCCATATCTTTGGAATAACCATGTACCTCAGTGGCTATATGCTTCCCCCCATCATGTTTTGTCTAAATAAGCCTCTAAGAGGCTCTTAAATTATCTGTATTGTAATAAAAATACGTTTATGGGTTAAATTTATTTAATTTGCTTATTTATTTTCTTAAAAACTTTAAATTTGACAGAAAATTCAAAGAACTTTCAAGCTTTTCTGTTTTCTTGACAACCCTGTTTTGTTGGCTCACCCCTAGCAATCGATATTCACTATTACCGATTGTTTGCTCATCCCTAGCAATCGATATTCACTATAACCGATTGTTCATCTCTAACACTAGTGCGCATCTCTATGAAGAGATGAGCAAAATTGCAATTTTTTTCGCTTAGATTGGTTTTTTAAGCAATAAAAACATACGAAACAACTGTCGCCTAACTATAACAAATGGACGACATTTCCCCCGATTGAATTCAACCATCGGCTTGGGATTCAGACGCCCTTTGAAACGAGCAGCGAGTGGATTTAAGGGCGAGGGCTATCGCCCATCACTATTACAAATACGAAAATGAAATTGCGTGCATTCTAAATGGTAAGATAAACTCCAATAAAATGCTACCAAGGCATTCGATAACTAAGCTAACTAACACTATTCATGTAGAGTTGATGGTAATTAACAATTAATTAAATGCGGTAATGCAATTAGGCCAAAAACAAGCAACAACAACAACAAATAATCAAAACACACGCACACCCATGCAGGTAAATGTTTTATTTTTATTTTTTTTTCTCACATTTTTGTATGGTTGTTGTTGTTGTACAATACATGTGCATTAGTTAAAAGTTAAATAGTGACAGGTAATTAAATAAAAATTTTAAGCCAGATAGTGGGTTTTTTTTTTGTCGCCAAAAACACACCCAAAATGCATATGTGAGTGTGTGATTGTGTTTTTGCAAAAAAAAAAAATTGTTGCATTAAAAATTCAAAGAAAATCCCTTTATAGGTTCTAAGGTATAAAAATAAACAAAAATATATATAGACATATATATATATATTCCACCGCCCATTTGTTTTGGTTTGGCGGTGCACCTTACGGATTGCATTGGAGGCCGTGTGGGCTGAGCACCCCGCGCGTGTGACTCACAAAATGAATTACTTTAGTTTTTGTGGTTGGTTTTGCAAGAAAAACATTGAATAAACAGAAATAGAACGGAATTCCGCCGGTGCATACCGGTTAGCCCGGTTAGGAACTATGCGCCAGTGTCACAAATCTTTCCCAAGAACTGGCCATTTTTTTTTAATGGGCCTGCCTAGCTCCCAAGAAGCCCTCTCTTAATAAAAAAAATATTAATTTATATTACAGCCACATGGGAACAATGACCAAGGACTATGACTATCTGCTGAAGGTTCTCCTGGTGGGTGACAGTGATGTGGGCAAGCATGAGATCCTCTCAAATCTGGAGGATCCCTCCACAGAGAGTCCCTTTTGCAGTGGTAATGGTAAGTTTAAATATTTCTCACTCTGTTATGGAACCTCAATTGGAATTGAACTTTAACCTAATAGACTGCACCTCTCACATCCTCAAAACGGTAGCATACAAAACAACGACCATACTGCTGGAGGGTAAGCGCGTCAAGCTGCAGTTGTGGGACACATCCGGCCAGGGACGGTTCTGCACGATCATTCGATCGTATTCGCGCGGCGCCCAGGGTATTATACTTGTCTATGATATAACTAATAAGTGGAGCTTTGATGGCATCGATCGATGGCTCAAGGAGGTGGATGAGGTAGGCTTGTGATGAGTCAATGGCTGATGTTTTTCTTTAATAATTTTGTATATTTTTTGGTTAAAGCACGCCCCTGGAATTCCAAAGGTATTGGTGGGCAATCGGCTGCATTTGGCTTTTAAGCGCCAGGTGGCCGCCAAACAGGCCGAGACCTATGCCAGCCGCAACAACATGTCCTGCTTCGAGATATCGCCGCTCTGTGACTTCAATATACGCGAGTCCTTCTGCGAGCTGGCACGCATGGCATTGCACAGGAATGGCATGGAGCATATCTGGCGTAGTAATAAGGGTATCCTTTTTATTATCCTTTATAAAAATATTGAATTATGATATCTAATCATGTACCTTGTTGCAGTGCTGACTTTGCAAGAGCTGTGCTGCCGGACAATAGTGCGTAGGACGAGCGTATATGCGATCGATTCGCTGCCACTGCCACCGTCCGTCAAATCGACGCTCAAGTCATATGCACTGACCACATCGCAGTGCTACAACTCCTTGACGCAGAGCTCCAAGAGCAAGAATCGCTGCAAGACGCCGACGAGCGGTAGCCGGAATAGCTGTGCGATCGCGTGATCGTTGCCTTGTATCCGCATCCGGATCCGGATCTGGATATGGATACCGATATGGATAAGCTGTTGCCACACACACTCCCACTCCCCTCCCCCCCTACGCAAGCGACATTAACTTTAAATGAACTCTACTTACGTACTCTAGGCTAACAAATACACACACAAAAACACACATCCTTACAAACACACACATCCTTACACACACACAAACACAACCAAATGGAATATCCTTTCCGAATTTCGTTTATTATATTTTTTATTATTTTTTTTTCATCGACAATTATACTTTTCTTTTTTTTTTTTTTGAAAAAAACAGTAAAGTTTACATTTATTTGTAACTCCCCCTCCTCCCAAAACCCACCACGCCCTCACCCACACCCACCCCGCTCTCTATCTTTTTGCATTACTCTAATGTTGTTAATATTATTATGTTTGTATAATTCTAATATTTAAAGAGCTGATTTTTTTAAGTACAGCCTTTTCGTACAGCAACACAAAAAATAAAAAATACATAAAATAAAAACATTAATATTTAAAAACAAACAAAAAACTGGAAAATATATCAAAAATAAGAAATCGCAAAGAAAAAAGAAAATCATTTTTTGTACGAATTAAAAAAAAAATGAAAATAAATAAGAAAAGGATAAATTAATTATTTTTTCGTTTGTTTACTTATCGGATTAAAAAAAATATTCTTAGAGATGTATTGTAATTGAAGCGAAACACACACAAAGGCGAATTGATAAAGATAATTCATAATGAACAAGAAAAACAACAACAACAAAAAAAGGCTTTTACTTTTTCGATTCTCCGTCTCTTTCAGCTTCCTGGTTGACCTTTATAGCCGTCTCTGTCTGTTTAAATAGGGAAAGTGTGAAAGTTTAAGATCTAAGCTTTAAAATTTGGAACGAGAAGAATTTTTTAATATTTTTATTACAATTTTAAGAGACATTTTTAAAGAATATGTGTTTTCTTTTTTTTTAATTTTATGTTTTAAATCCTTTAAAGTAACAATAATACTAAGTGTTTAAGGTCGTAGACTGCCTACTTTTTATAAAGCTTATTATTTGTACTTTTCTAAAAATCACCTCTAAATCTTAAACTTTTTATTAAAAAAATTAAAATCTTATAATTTGGAAAGGCTTATGTAAAATCAAGAGAAACAAAACTATTCCCACATCTGGGGGCTCCAACCACAAATTAGATTAGAGAAGAAACGCACTATATGGTGTATACCCTGGGAATTGGAAATGAGACAAGGGTATTATAGACATTATTTCAAAATTTTACTCGAAATTTTTAAATTTTATTCCAAAAAGTGGGATGTTTCAACAAATCCTTATAAAAAAGGAAAGAATCTACTAATAATTCAAATAAATTAAAAGGGGAAGTAAATTAAATAAAAATATTAATATTAATATTAAAATCACGCTGCACAGTTAAGAACTGCAGCACTATGATTAAAGAAAAGGATTCCCTGAAGCCCACAAAGGGCCACCTACATACATAGGTCATAGAAAACTAAGACTAACAATATATTTTATGAAAAAAGCTAATAAAAAAATATATGTAGGGATTTTCCAGTCTCCTACCCGAATATTATTAGTGTTGAAAAACGATTATTGTTAAGTGTTGTATTGTGCCTAGTGTTCTATAGTGTTGATAAAAAAATATTTACGTCCGGCTTTTCCCATGATACAATAATACAAGGTAGTCCATTCGGCTGTTATAGTCGTTCGGGATATTATTTATAATTTATAATTGTATAATTGTATCCCCTAATTTATAATTGTATCATGGCTTTTCCATTCTCCTACCAGTATATTATTTACTACAGTGTTGAAAAACGATTAGTGTTAAGTGTTCTATTGTGCCTAGTGTTCTATAGTGTTGATAAAAAATACAATATAGTATGTGGATCACGTCCGGCTTTTCCCATGATACAATTATACAAGGTAGTCCATTCGGCTGTCATAGTCGTTCGGGATATTATTTATAATTTATAATTGTATAATTATATCCCCTAATTTATAATTGTATCATGGCTTTTCTATTCTCCTACCAGTATATTATTTACTACAGTGTTGAAAAACGATTAGTGTTAAGTGTTCTATTGTGCCTAGTGTTCTATAGTGTTGAATGAAATAAGTAGGCCATGAAACTGGGAGTTTGGAAAAAATTTCCGTATATAAGGAGGTTCTGTTCCCGAGAGAATCAGTTTCTGCCCGTCTTCAAAGCAGTAAGGAACTCACTCTTATTTTCTTTGTTTTTTAAGTTTTTTTTAATTATTTTTCTTTTTTTCATTCATTATTGAAAAAGATGCAATGGTAGGCTTTGGTTAGGAATTCCGCAAAATTGTAGTAACCGTAGTACGATCTTTTTTCTCTGATTTTATTTTTTATTTCAACAAAAATAAGACTTTAATTTATTTTTATTTTGTTTTTAAACATTAATTATCAATCGGTTTTGTACTTACTACTGCTTGTTAGGGATGTTTGTTTTAATCATCATCATTTAATTCATCATCAAGTCTTATTCTCTTTTATTCTTTTTCCTTGGAGCTTTGTTTTTTATTTCATTAAAAATAAATTTAAAAAAATATATACATAACAGTAGAAGAGATTAAAAAAGAAACTTATAAGAAGAGTTGTTTATTTACAAACAACTTAGAACTGACTTTAACGAAATTAAAATTGAAAAACAAAACCGTTTTTCATAAACATTGTTAGGGATATTCAGAAAATCAATATAATTTTAATTAAATTTAAATTTAACAAAAGCTAAGAAAGTCTTAAAAATTAAAAACCAATAATAGAGGAACATAAAAAACATCTAAGAATGAATAATCAAAAAAATAAAGATACGAAAACTATATAGCCCCATAGATAGCTATAGCTATGTATATATAGCCCTAATAGATAGTTATAGGTATGAAGATATAGCCCCATAGATAGCTATAGCTATGTAGATGTGTACTTATTCCAGGGTATTCCCCTTTTCGATAGAAAGAAATCCTCTCTAAGAGTCTGGATCGATTTGTTTCGTTTTCAACATCTGGGGGTTGTCCCATGTCTGATGTGATTAATCGCCTCGCTGCAAACCCAATTTGATATTGTAATATTATTTAAATGATTCAAATTGCCTTTCCATCGATTTGGCTTAGCTTTTTTTTTTAACTTTTATTTTTTTGGCTAAAAGCCAAACCAAAAAAAAAAAAATAAATCTGTTTGTGGCTTCTTCGTCGACAACTATTTCTTTTACACAATTCCCCCCAGAGTTGGCCAATACAAATAAAACACAAAAAAAAAGGGCTGGAGAGGGGCGTGACTAGGGGGTCTAGGGGGCATATTATAGCGGACTCGTTATATTTTCGGAGCATTATAAAAATTTGGCGGGGAATTGGCGAGGGACTTAATGGGGAATGACGGCGAAATTAATGCAATAATTTGCATATCTTGTGACTTGGTTTTTAATTCAGTTTCTATTTACGTTTTTGGTGTTATTGGTTTTTTTTTTAAGATTTAATTTTGATAAGCTGAAATGATTTTTTAAAATTAAACTTTTAATTTAAATATGAAGTTTTAAGTGTTGTTTTTAGTGGTTTTTAAGGAAAAATTGAGTTTTTTTTAATAGCTGTTTAGATTGGGAAATTATTAGTTTGGTGTGTGATGTAAAATATTGATTATTGCTTATTTATTTTATATATATATATTTTTATATATATATTATATTTAGCTATTTAGTTAAATATTTTTTTTAATGGGGAATCTCAACAGCACTAATGAGACTATAAATCCTTAGAATTTACTAGATCTTCAACTTAATATATATACTTTTACTTTTAAAAATTAAATTTTTCAAGTACTGGAATGCAATTTTGAATATTGAATATTAGAGACAATGCTTTTTTTTAATTTTAATTTTTTTATTTAAGTAATCTGTCTATAAATCATTATGAAAACCTTCTAATAACTAATAAACAAACAAGTACATTCTTCATTTATGATAATATAATAAGTTAAGGATAATATTATAGTTAAAAAAAAATTTGTAACAAATATTTAGTTACTTTTTAATATAATTAAGTTATTTTTTTTATAATTATAGCTTTAATTAAAGTTTTACACCAAATACCAGATGAATTGGGGATTTTCCTCTCTATATTTAGAAACTATGCATGTAACTCTATAATCTGAACCCTTCTCCAGGTGAACTGACCTGACCCATCGATCAGGTGACCCGGCAGGGGGGCGGGGCCCCTAATCGAGCAGATGGTACGAGCCCCGGGGATTAATTTCGGTGGCTGGTGGCCCAATTATGGAACTGCTTTTTATTATTTATTTCGTTTTCATTTTTGTATCTCATTCGGCTGATTTGCATTTGGTTTTTGGGTTTCTTGTTGTTGGACCTCTTCTGATCCATTTTGGGGATGACGAAAGCCGGCAGAGAGCTTCGGAGTTGCATCTCGTAACGGAGCCCACAGAGGCGGAGCTATAAAAGCCCAGATCGGCTGGGAATGGAGCATCAGTTGGCATCCAGCTTCCTCTTCGGCTACGCGGAGTTCCCATCAGGTTTTCGACCCCCCAAGCAAGAAACTTCCAGCAATGAAGGTTCGTCTTTGTTTAAATCCTAAGAAATTAAAGAGGATATTTAATTAATTTTTGAATTTTTTCCATCAGATCTTTGTGTGTCTTTTGGCTACTCTGGTGGCCACTTCGTCCGCCGGCTTCCTCGGCGGCTCTTCCGGCGGTGGCGGCGGCGGAGGCGGTGGCTACAGTTACGGAATCGGTTCCGGAGGCGGTGGCGGCGGCTACTCTGGCGGTCACCAGGAGGTGAAGACCATCAAGGTGATCCAGGAGGGTGGCGGCTATTCCGGCGGAGGCGGTGGCTATGCCCTGGGAGGCGGCTACTCTGGAGGACATGGCGGCGGCTACTCTGGCGGTCACCAGGAGGTCAAGACTGTCAAGGTCATCCACCAGGAGGGTGGCGGCTACTCCGGCGGACATGGCGGCGGCTACTCCGGTGGACACGGACATGGACACGGCGGTCATCAGGAGATCAAGACTGTCAAGGTCATCCATGAGGAAGGACACGCTCTGGGAGGCGGCGGCTACACTGGCGGCTACTCTGGAGGTCATGGAGGTCACCAGGAGGTCAAGACCATCAAGGTTATCCACGAGGAGGGCGGACACGCCCACGGCGGTGGTCATGTCCATGGCGGTGGCTACTCCGGAGGTCATCAGGAGGTCAAGACTGTGAAGGTCATCCACCAGGAAGGCGGCGGCTACTCCGGCGGACATGGCGGTTTCTCCGGCGGCTACTCTGGTGGCTACTCCGGTGGTCATGGAGGTCACCAGGAGGTCAAGACTGTCAAGGTCATCCACGAAGAAGGACACGCTCTGGGCGGAGGCGGCGGCTACACTGGCGGCTACTCCGGCGGCCATGGCGGTCATCAGGAGGTCAAGACCATCAAGGTCATCCACGAGGAGGGCGGCCACAGCCACGGAGGACACGATCACGGACACGGAGGTCATGGCGTCGGCGGCTTCGAGGAGGTCAAGACCATCAAGGTCATCCACGAGGAGGGCGGCCACGCCCATGGCGGTCACTCCCATGGAGGCGCCATTTCCATCAGCAACGAGTACCTCCCGCCCAGCAACGAGTACCTGCCCCCAGTGTCCGCACCCGCTCCCGGCTACCTGCCGCCCTCGTCCAGCTGGAAGTAGGCGCTCGTCTCCGGAAAGTATCTCACGGATACACATCCCCACTGTGATTCGAACCGATTCCGTTTCGATGAGAGCTACTGATCCCCCAGTTTTTTTTTTAAACCTTGTTGTTAAGTAGTTTTAGGCAATCTATCCTTTTTTTTCTTCCCATCTTTTTTTTCCTGTTGAATCCATTTTACCTCACTTGTTACAAAAAAAATGAAAAAAATATATGCCATCTGTAAATTATAAATATCACGGAAGTGTTTGATTTTTGGGCGGGAAAGAGAGCTTTGTTTATTGATGGTTGTTTTTAGGGAAGTATATTGATACCTGGTACTATAACCTGATAAATATGGCTATTTTTTGGGAAGTATATCATACCTGGTACTATAACGTGCTACATATGGTTATTTTTTGGAAAGTATATGATACCTGGTACTACCATATAACCTCTATTTCTATTGGCTTAATATCATCTTTATGGAGGTTTGTTTCTTTATAGTTAAGGTCTTATTTTTTGCCGTTTTGTAATAGAGTTTTAAAATGCCTCCTCTTATAATAAAATGTTTTCTAATAAATTCCCTTTTAATAGAACCTACGCCCTGGAAGTAAGCCCTATAGTTCCTTATAGTTTCCTTCTCTAATAATAGAGGCTCTATAGTTTAAAATAGTAATATTTTATAGTAAATAGTTTCAATAACTTTTTTTATGATTTCATAAATTAGTTTAGCCTGATTCTTGAGGAAAATGGTTTAGAATAATACAACTTTGGGTATATTTTTGTTATAGAGCACCCCAAGTATACCCCAAGTATATAAGTATAGTATAGTGTAGTATATACCCTAATATACCCTAGTATATACCCTATGTAGTATAGTATATACCCCCAAGTATATACCCTAATATAGGAATTAGGTATTAGTATACCTAACATATGAGCCATATATAAACCTTATATAAACCTAACATATGAACGAGGTTTCGTTATGATTTCGATTTAAAATATATATTTAAAAACTCATAAAATGTACAATAAACAAATATTATTTGTAATGCGTTTAAAAAATAATTTAATTTTATGGTGAAATGATTATTAAATATTTCTATTAACTTTGGTATGTTAAAAGTAATTTAATGTGAGAATATGGATTAATATAAAGTTCGAACATAACATTAAGTACTTGAGAAAATTCGAAGAAATTCAAACAATATTCGAAAACGTAAATCTACATTACAAAAAAAGAGTTTTTTATAAGAAAACATAATATTATTGGGTGTGTCAAATCTACATTCCAAATCGGAAAAAATCTATCGAATTTTTAGGAATTGTCTTCACCAAAATGGTTCGATTTCCCAGTATCTATAATATTATAGATTCTTCAATATGCTATTGTTCGTCTAAAATATTATTTTGAACATATAAAAGTGTAAAATTGTGTACTGTTTCAAAAGAAAAAAGGAAAAGTTTAATTCAAATATTGAAAACATAGTGAAATATAGTTAAGCAACGTTCAAGACAACTATATAATCCATGAATATTAAAAACTACTTAAAAAATCAATATAAAATGTTATGAATGATATATGGTTTAAATATCTATATTTCTAGTCTATTTCTATGAAGTGTCTAAGTTTGAAATATGGAATTAAGAGCAAAATTGTGTGTTTAATCAATTTTTATGTTAATAGTTTCCCAGATGATTAGTCGTATGAGTTTAAAAACGTGTATTTTCTTTCACGAAAGACTATTTTTTAGAAGTGTAGCTAAAAAATGGAAAAAGTCAAGTATTTGAATATCAATAAATCTTAGAAACATCCGACAAACCATTCCCATTATTTCGGGCATCTAAACAAATAGTTTTTAAATCGAAACTTGATTCACAGATCATAAAAATAAAAGAATTAGCATTTTGGCTTTCAATAGATTTACTTTCGGATTGTTTTTGTTTTTCTTTTGGTAAGTTTCTGACTTTTTTTGTATTTTTATTTTCATTTTTATTTTCACTTTCAACTCAATCGATAAACCAAATGGGAAATTAACATAATCGTCTCGTCTTCTTAATTGTCAGTAGCTCGATGACCTCTTCGGAGTTGAGCTCGTGTATCTCACAGATACATTCCACAATCTTATGGATTAATTTAGATTTTAAATTGAGAATTATTTTAAACGATAATTATTTAAGTAAATAATCAGCTCCTGTCTGATTGTTTATTACTTGTGCGGCCAAATGTCCTGGCGCCTTCGTTTCGCAGGACTCGGCTCCAGGCGATTGCTTTGACTCAGATACTGATGCAGTGGCAGTGGGCGTGGCGAGGACGAGGTCACCGCCAAAGGATACTCGCTGGTGGGTCGCCACTTCGAAGGCAGCCAAGGTGAATCGTAGTCCTGATGGTATTTGCTGCGATACGGGGTCTTATCCTCCGGTGGAAGGATCTTTGGCGGCTCCTGATGGACCTTCAGATTGAGCAGCAACTCTCCATCATCGTCTATTAGATTGTAGAGCTGAACACCCTTGGACTCACGCAGGGGATGGGCTCTCTCCAGGCGCACCTGTTGCCGGATTGGTTTGGGCCGGAATGTCGGCTTCGGCCTTGGGGCCATAAAACGCGAAGAACGATCCGGCGACTGAAATTGCCTGAGGATTCCCAAAGGCAACAGCAGATCCGATTCAAAGGGCATAAAGCCACTGGCTCGCACTTTAATAATATTCCTCAACAGGGGCTGGTGGCTCTGATAGCTTCTGACCAGGCCGAAAAGGCCTAAAAGGCTCAGAGTGTTTATGGCTAGCATTGCGGTGGCGGCTTGTTTCCTGCTTAGCTCATTTTAGGATCACATTAAAAAAATATATACAACCGAATGATGTTATTATTTCGCTGACGAAAGACCCACAATGCCGACCCGCGTTGCACCAACTGAGTAAACTGAATAAACTCGAGTCCGTTCGAGTCGAGTTGAACTCGACTCACTGCCGAGCTCGTCTCGTGTGCACTGTGCGCTCGTAAAAGCGAATTAATTAGAGAAAATACCGTACGGTACACGACTGCACAGTGGGACGAAACTATAAAGAAAATGCATATTTAACTAAAATGAAATATTTATACCCAGTACAAGGGACTATAAAGTATAAATATTTATATTAGTTATACGATTTTATGTATTAGTTATTAGCTTGGAATGTTTATAGATCATCTTGATGAATAGTTTAATTTATAGATAATATATCTTGAATATATTTAATTTTATTTAATGTCATTTTTTAATATATAATATTATTATAAAGAATTCTTAAAAAATCCTAGGACTTAAAAGGACTTAGGTTTTGTTAAAGACTGACATTCAAAATACCTTTCAGTTTCAATTTAAGAGACCTTTTAAAGACAAAATTATTTTTTTTAAATAAATAGTTTGATAATTAAACAATATTATAATGGTTTAAGCTTGAAATAAAAAGTAAGTTCAAAGTTCAAAGACTAAATATATAGATTTATTAAATTCTTATAGATATAGAGTTAGAGTTAGAGTATGTATGTATCTCTAACTTAAGATATTAAGTTAGATATCGACTCCATAAGTTCTACTTTAAAAAAATATTTAACTAGAACTATATTTATTGTATCAATATTTAGTATATTTATTATAATACCTATAAAATTCTTAAAAATTCTCATATAGTTTCAAACCACTGTCCATAGCGATGTCCGAACACTTTGAATTGAAAATAAAAACATAACTGGCCGAGGCCTCTCGACGTTTATTGTTTATTGTTTGGCGACTTACTCTTTTTTCCTCTATTAGTTACTCTATTATTTCCACTATTTTTGTTGTGGCCACTGGGACAGTACAAATTTATTAAAAAAGCATACTGTGTGTGTGTGATTTATGCCAGAGATTTAACAAGAATAATTCTTTAGATTCTACTACGTGTTCCTCTTTTTTTTGTTTGTGGAATGGACATTAAACTGGTTCACACAAGCCGTCGGTTTGGGCCATTATGCCGGCCATTAAAACCTCAACCCCAAACCGTCCACTCTCGCTGCCATTGCCGGCTCTGACCCAAACACAACATACTATAGTACTACCTAGGTATGGTATATATTTCCATATCTGGTCCAGGCACAAGTGCCTATATAATGGGTCGTATCTCCGGCCCATTAGCATTAAAACAAAAGACACCCGCATTGAAAAAACAAAACAAAACTATAAAACAAACTATACATGTTTTGTGAAATTGAGATTTTATGGAAAATGTTAGATTTTTTCAGAATTTTCACTCGAATTATGTAGTAGTTGACAATTCAAAAGTTCAACGCTTCACAGATCACTCTCACTGCTCTACATTTGCATATGAGGGACAGTGCGGTTCATAACTAGCTACAGGTTTTGGGGAAAAGCTTGAAAAAAAGGGGATTTTTAAAAATGTGTGTTGGAGTTAAAAAATTTGTATGGGGGATGCTTATTTACTTACATATATAGTTTTATAAATTATATATCTAATATACTAAAATATGCTATACTCTCCAAAATATTTATAGGTTCTATTAAGTAAAAACCAGGAGTTTTAAAGACATCTATAAAATAAAATTATATTTCTTAACAAAAATCGTTAGGCTAAAAATCCACTAAAGATTCTTAGATTCCTATAGACCCTCAGACCTATCTTTTCAGATCCCCCCGCCCGGAATTTCCATTATGAAACGCACTATACTCATCCATAATCATGAGAAAACACACAACTAACGGTAAATACCATTCCAAGTTGATTGAGACACATTGTTCAATCACAAGCCTCAATCACCAGTCAACCTGTTTTGTTTTTAATTTTTTTTGTAATTATTTATTTATCGTAGACGTAGACTTGGCTTTATTACTAAAATTAAGAACAAAAATATTGCAAAAAAAATGGTTTATATAATAATGTATATATATATAGATTATGATGAGGAGGGATATCTGTACAATTAAAGTGTAGAGAGACTTAGATATACAAGTACTGCTAGCTGACTAGAAAATTATATAAGATTTTAAAACTTATCTATATAAATTAATCGATTTCTCTGATTCTTTATAGTTCCTTCCTTCGAATCCAACACATAATTTTTTTGTGGGTTTTTTTTGAAAATATTTACATATACAAATACTGTTGCTCTAAATATTATTTATCATTTAGGATATATTTTTAAGGTTAAGCTCTAGTCCAAGGTGATGTGCGGATTGGTGTACGTAAAGCCATGGAACTGTTTCTGATCCATAGAGGCCAGTATTTCCTTATCGATGGGGGTCAAGCGGACCCGTTCTCTGGTGAAAACCCGATCGAAATATTGGGTATCGAGTGGATGTTTCTAGTGTGGTATTATATAGATAAAATAATATAGTAAATACGATTTATTTTTGGGGTCTAATACTTACCACTTGGGGCTTGAAGGGTGGTTCTATTTGTCGCTTTTCCAACAGACCCCAGTCGATGGGCCGGAAGAATATATGATCAGCTATGTCTCCAGCTGGACTATATTGAGACCCAATACGCTTTGTATAATCCTTTTCCAGAAGCTGTTAAATATAATATAATATTTATTAGAATCTTTATAAAAACTTAACTATGTTCCCCTGATCTTACCCCTTTGAGAATTCCTGTTGCCTCGGCGGATATATAAACGGGGAACCATGGAATCTCATTGCAAATGGACCAGAAGAGCTCGTCCTCATCGCAGCCACTAAATGGCGACTGACCGATCAGCATTTCATAGAGCAGCACACCGAATGACCACCAATCCACATTTTGATTGTACTTTTCACCCTGAATATTATTAAAAATAAAATATATTCAATATAATGTATATATTTCAATGATTTATGGGGGGGGTATAACTAACCTTAATGATTTCGGGCGCCATATAATCGGGTGTGCCGCAAAAACTATCGGCTGTTTTGTCCAAATAGATTTGCAATTTGCACATTCCAAAGTCGGCAATACGAACATGTCCCTCGTAATCCAGCAGGACGTTATCCAGTTTGAGATCCCTAGAAAAAAATATATAAAAATCATATTAAAAGGGGAAGCTTTAAATAGTCTTTTAAGAAGTTTCAAAACTTTTCCCTCAAAAACACAATAGCTATAGTTAGTCCTATCTTTTCTTTATATGATAGCTTTGGTATATAGTCAACAGATCCTGGTGATTCCAACATATATAATGTATTTGGGTATAATAAGGGTTTGTCTAAAATTTCAAGTCGATAGCTTTAAAACTGAGAGACTATTTTAGCTATAAGGCAGCTATAGCTTTCTATAAAAACCTACTTTACATTAAAATAATTCTAAAAAATATACTACCAATTTTAGTTATAACTCACCTATAGATAATGCCCTTTTTGTGCAGGAACTTGAGACCCGAGATTATTTCGGCGCCATAGAATCTGGCCCGTTCCTCGGAGAAGCGTCCGCTCTCCTGGATGTGGAACATGAGATCACCGCCATTTAGATACTCCATTACGAAGAACAGGTGGCTCTACAGGAGAAACAAATAACAAAAACAGCAAAAAAACAATTAAAAATGTATTTAAAACAATTAAGAATCGTCCCCCAAAGTCATAAATAATTAAAATACCTTCTAATCGGTGTCAATGCAAATGGCAAGATGCAGATTCATTTACGGGTAAAAGATACAGATACAAATGAATCTTTCAAGATGCATCTAAGATACAAATGCTAAGAACACGAAACAGACGGACAGGCACCCTGATCTACATGATGTCCGAATATCCGAACTCTCTGACTGTCCCTCCTGTCCCTCTGTCTGTCTGTCTGTCTGTCCGAATGTCGTGTGCCCCAATCGATGGCCAGCCGCAGTCCCAATTAAATCAAATATATATTTAATTATAGAGCGTTTTACCTTTCCTCTGGCTATTTATAAGCCCAATCGATTGTTCTATCTAACATTTGGATATATCTATATTTGTCCCACAGACACACCTTTTGTTTGTGGGGATTACCTCTAAACGATATGGTAATTGAAAAAAAATTAAGTGCCAATGGGATATACATACGATTTTGTGTTTTTGAATGGAAATAGTCATAGGATTACTTTAGAAACTAATTCGAAAATTTGGATAAATTCTTAAAGGTATGTTTTTATAATTTTTTATGTACTTTGTAGAGTTTTGATCTTAAATCACCTTTAAAACAAAAGCACCTTAAGCTATATAGTCCAATTTCTTTATGTTTTTTTTATGTAAACCCCTTTAGAAAAATTTTAAAACCCACCTCCGTTTGGAAAGTGCAAAACAAATGACACAAATAGGGATGTTTGGTGCCCAAGGCCAGGACCTTTCTCTCAATAAGAGTCGAGTCCACATCGTCATCCTCCAGAACGACATCCTTTTTCAGACACTTTATGGCATAATAGTACGTTGTATCCCTCAGTTCGGCCAGCAGGACCTTTTTTTTCAAAAAATTAAATATTCATATTAAATATATTAAAATAATAAATAAAATTAATAATATACTCACTTTGCCGAAACTTCCCTTGCCAAGGACGGCCAAAAAGTGGAAATCATCTACCGAATAATTCTTAAATCTAGGTATTACTGTGGCTGGCGCAGTGAAACGTCCGGATTTTTGGAATTGTGAATATGTATATGATGTTTCTGTGCAAGCGAGATAGCAAGATCAAAAGAGCAAGATAGAGAATATAGAGGATAGAATATCAAAGTTAGTTAAGATATTTTTAAAAAATATATATATTAAAATTGGATAGAGATAATGGTTTATGAGTTTCTCTTTCAGGAGATCACTTGAGTGGCTTAGAGGTATAATGTCTATTATAGAGTTTATATGGAGGGATCTAGAATACTATATCATTTCTATTCGGGCATACCATCGTGTTCTTCGCTGGGTTCGATCTTATAGGCTGGATTCAAGCTGGGCGGTGTACTGGGGGAGTCGCGAGCTTCTCGAGCGCCTAATATTTTTTTTAGGAATATTATTTATTTTATTGCTTAATATATCTTGTTTTTAGTTTTAATTTTTTCAAGGCTTGATTTTGCTCAAAAAATTGTTTTTAGGAATTATTTCTTTCTTAATCCTCCTTAACTATTTCCTTTTAAAATAAATCATATTGTTTTGAAACTAATTTAGGTTTCCTGTTTGCAATAAATTCATTAAATGCATTTCCCCCACTAATTGCCAATTATCACCTTCTAAATTTCTGTTTTTGAGCAAAATCAAGCCACAAATTTTGAAAAGCACAAATTATAAAGATTTTATTATTTTTTTTTTGGTCGGCCTTCAACCAGCTTGTTCTGATTTGGCGCCTTTTTGTTTGATTTTTTTTTTGTGACTTTTCTGCAGTGAGTTGGGGCGAATATTACCTCGCTTCACGTAGTTGAGTGCCTCGACGATGAGTTTCTGATTGACGCCGCATAAATTGGCCGTGAGCCGTTCGCATTTCTTGTGGCAATTCACGTCACATTCTGATTGTTTTGGGTTTTCAATGCGGAATACGGTCGGTATATATCGTTATATATGGCCCACGCATCGCATTTTATGTCATTTGAGGGGAATTAATTGCAAACAAATTTTTATTAAATTTTTTGGCTTAAGGTGGGTATAATTCAATATTCTGTTGCGATTTTATGGGTTGGTTTTGTTTCTGAAGCTTGCAAGACTTTCCTTTTCATTTCAAACTTTCCTTTAAAGACTACGATTTCTTACTAATTATTAAGTTCAAATAAAATCCTAAAAATTTTACAAGATCCTTTTAAAATAAACCTTTAATTCCCCCACATCCTAACATATAAGAATCAATAGTGGTTGGAAAATAGGTGCTTTCCTAAGCAAGTTTAAAATATATCTTTAAAAATAAAATCTTAGAACTTGTTTTCCAGTTAAGATAGAAAATAATTGTTTAGAGTTAGGACTCATTTCCGATATGTTTCTAGGAAACCCGTGCCCATATATTTCAAAGTGGAAGTACTCTGAACCCGAAACCTTCAAAAGCCCAAAAACACTTATTTCCGATTAAAATAAATAAACACAATTGATGTGTCTCAGTGTAGTGAGAACCATGAATTTCCGTTGATTATTTTCACCAAGGGGCACATAAACAAAAATCGAAAGAGCCATTGTTTGGGGCACACTTTGATTGCAATTTCAATAAATTTCTCGATCTCGCCTGCCCGGATATCACGTATACGCAGTGTGCTCGCACAGGCAAGGTATTATATAAAACTTTTGCAAAATCGAATCGAATTTACTATCTGGCTCATAACTGCGTTGTATATAGACTTGAATTTAGCCAGATTAGCTGCAGCTAATATACATATCTATATAAAAATATATATACAATATATTATATAGAGGATATATATTATTTAGTATATATGGTATGAAAAGCTTTCTTCTCTCACGACGATGACCTAAACAATTTGTTTTCATTTGTTGTTTTGGCTAAAAGTAAAATGCCAACTTGTCGATTGTCTAGCCAGCCACCCTGCCTCCCCCTCACCTGATATTCTTCCTCTCTTCACTGCCACTCTTTATATATATTATATCGTTTCTTTTTCTCACGCTTTCTTTGCTTTTCCTGCGGCTTCTGGTGGCGATTCTCTAGCAAATTCTCGCAAAAAGCATCAAGGAAACGCCGCCACGGAACAGTAATCAACGATAAACGATAAAATTCTCGGCGAAAAAATTACATAAAACAACGAAAGATATAGGAAGTTGATTTCCCATAATCCACTCAAAAAAATAAATAAAGAGAATATAAGAAGAATATTTCACAGGAAAGGGAAGTAACTTAGAAAAGGTCTTCATGAGATCACGGGTTTTTTAAGAATATTTTCCATATCTTCGGTTTTAAAAAATATTTTCCAAAATATGTTTCTTAAATTCATAAAGAACACTTACAAAAAAAATCTCCAGAAAACTGTATACAATATTTTCTTTAAAATCCAATTGCTCACAATTCACCAAAAAAAAAAATAATACAATTTCTGAAAACTCATTCACAAATCATATTTTTGCACACAATTATATTCCTCCAGTCGCACAGGTCACTGAACCATTATTTTTCTATATATTTTATATATATATTCTGCATCCGCAAAACGATTTCGATGAGAAGGACGGTGCTTTTCTAGCACTTCCTAGTTAACAGCTTGAATCGGGATCTATTACTAGGCCAAAAACTATCAGCCACTATATTTTTATACCATATTCTTGGGGGCATTGTTTTCCCCGGATCATGTACTCTATATATATAAGTATATATTAGCTATTGAACATTATTATGACTTTGTTTATTTTTGCGTTTTGTTGTTGGCGTTTCTACGGAATTGTTTGGATGCCTTTGGTCATCTCCATATAGTATATATCCCTCATATATCCCCCATATCTATATGTCCCGTCTAGAAAACGAAAGCATTCCGAAATGCCCCATGATTTCAGACAGTAAGAAAGCTCATTCTTATTATTATACGTATTTTTTTTTTGTTTTTGTATATATTTACTGGGACACGTGCCGCACTCAAGTGATCAACTGGGAATCGGGGTGTACGGGGGCTATGTTTTTGGTAAGATACACAGAGAAAAATTCTGGGGGGTTTTGGCTTTTTAAATTGTGTGTTTAATGGGAGTTTAAAAAATATCCTTTTTTTGGGAATAGTATGTTTGGAAAACGTATTGTTTACTTTATTTTTATTTAAAAAAATACTGGAAAAGTTATTAATATTTTTAGGAATATTATAGTATTTTTTTTAGCAAAAGTTCTATACCATTTTGTAGGATTTTCATATTAGTTTTTATTTTGTTTTTAATATTACTATTTAACTCATACTTTGTGAAACTTTTTTAGAAACTAATTCAAATCCAAAACTTTATACCTTTTTGGGAAAATAAGTATAATATTTTCAAAAACCTAAAAAATCATATTTTTTTTCTATTAAATAATTTATTTTCCAACTTAGTCTTCTAAAACCCATTATTTTTGCCCATTTCTATTATTCCTTCTAACCCCTAATTTTTCTCTGTGTACTTGGATTAAAGAGAATGACAAATAAAGACAAAGAGAGAGAAAGAGAGAGAGTGACTATGCCCCGCGGGCCTTACCTAACATCTTCTTGGGACTGGAGGGCGCAGTGCCGCCCTCGAATCCGGAATCGTTGCTGCAGGTGCTCATCCGGATGATGGAGGGCGAGGTGCCGGCCGGAGTCCCAACCACGCCCAGTGTCGCACCCACAGCCGCCCCCGCCCCCGAAGAGGTTGAAGATTCGGTCACCCCCGATGAGGAGCCGCCTCCCTTGGTGGCGCCACCGCCGCCACGCAGACCACCCGCCCCCGCAGATCCCGCCGAGCTCTGGCTACTGCCCGAGGAGCTGCACTCCTCGCCGCTCTCCTCATCGCTTGTCGCCTCCTCCTCCAAGGACTCGCTGCCCGCCTCGCTCTCGCTCTCGTCATCGGTATTCTCATCCGAGTAGACGATCTTCTCCCGCTTCCACAGGGGTCGTGGTGTGGCCACCAGGGGATAGCGTGGCGCCTCCTCCTTCACGTAGCACTTGTTGGTGGTATCGATTTTGATTTTCTTGTGAGGATCGAAGCGTGGCGGATCGGCGGCAGCGGCGGCCGCTTTCTTTTGCTTTCGCTTCTCCTTGCGCTGTTTCTTCTTCATGCTTTCACTGAGAACCCGACGGGGGGCACCGCTCGCACTGGAATATTCCGCCGAACTGTCGCCGTCGGTATCGGAATCGGTTTCAGAATCGGAATTATCCGCCGACGATGGTATATAGTCCTCTAATTCAGCGTCAACGTCTCGCAGACACTGTGCCAAATTCGATACTGTTGCAAACTTTGATAAATTATTGCCGCAGCTGTTGTTGTCTACATTCACATCGGCAACATCAGCTACACCAGCAACACCACTATCACCAATAGCTGTAGCAACATCTGATGTTGCTACCTCAACAGCAACATGCAATGATTGCTGCTGTTGCTGCTGCTGCTTCTCTTTCGTAGGCGTTGTTGCAGATTGCTTTAATTGCGATGACGCATGTTGCTGTTGCAATGTTGGTGATATTTTGGCCGCCTTTGTGGGGGCCAAAGTTATAAATTGATCGGCATTGATTGGGGTCACATTGCTCTCAGTTGTTGTTGCATCTACTGTTGCTCCTGTATTAGATGTTGCTGCTGCTGGTGTTGTTGCCTTCTTTTTGGCAGCATTTATTTTGCCGGCTTTCGGTGATTGCACCTTTGACTTGGCGGTTTCCGTCAATTTCGTTTTGGTTTCCGTCTGGGATTGCTGTTCCTTTTGCTGTTGTTGCTGCTGCTGGGCTGGCAGTTGCTGTTGCTGTTGTTGCTGTTGCTGCTGCTGTTCCTTGTGCGTTGTTTTATTTATTTTCGTTTCGATTGCCTGTTGTTGTTCAGGTGACTTGGCCATTTGCCCGCTATTTATTTTTGGCCCTGTTGTTTCGTTCAGTTTTGATTTGCTTGTTGGTGTTGCTACTGTGGCTGCTGCTGCTGTTGCTGGTGTTGCTGCTGTAGATGTTGCAGTGCTGCCAGATTGTTTAACTGTCACAGCTGTGGTTGTTGTTGTTTTAGTTGTTATCTTTGCAGCTGCTATTGTTGTCTTTGGTGTCAATGGAATTTCTTCTGTTTTTGTTGCCTGTATTTTGATTTGCGTTGGTGTTGCTGGTGTGCTTGTTGATGTTGCTGGTTTTGTTTGGCTTTCGGTTGTTGTTGTTGCTTTGACTTTTGGAGATTGCTTCTCTGACTTTGCAGTCGTCACTTCGACATGATCTTTTGTTGTTGTCTTTACGTCCAGAGTTGTTGGTGTAAGTGTTGGTGTAACTGATTTGGCCTGAACTGCTGTTGGAATTGCCGCCTTCGACTTCTCAGCTTCCTTAGTCTCGATTTTGATTAGATTATCCTTGGATATGGCTATTTTTGGCTTAGCTTCCTCCTTTGTTTTTGTTGGTGAGTCTTTTTTGGTGGCTGCTTGTGTTGTCTTCAGTTTGGCAACATCGGTTGCAGTTGTTTTGGTCTTGGCATCCCCCAATGGTGTAGTCGGCGTTTGGGGAGAGTCTACTGAAGTTGCTGGTGTAATTATGGGCTTGGTGGTGACACTTGTTGGTGAATTCACCGGCTTAGTTGGTGTTGTTGTGGCTTTGTTTTCGATATTGCTTGTTGTAATGGTTGTACCTGGCTTTGTTGTTGAGATTTCTGGAGTTTGTGGTGTCACTGGAGTCTTGGAAGTTGTTACTGTTGGTGTGCTATTCAGCTCTATGGTTATTTCCGACTTGAGCTTTGGTACTGTTGGTGTCTTTGTGTCTGGAACCTTAGTTTTGGCTTCTTCTACGATTGTCTTTGTTTCTTTTGGCGTAGTGGGTGACTGGGGTTGCTGTTCTTCTTCCAGAAGACGATCTTGCCTTTCGGTCAAGGCCTTTTTGCGATTAGTCATGTAGAGGGTTTCCCTCGATCC